CATTTTTTGCCCTCGTGAAAGTTGCTTTCAAGTAAAGGAGGCAGAATAAGCAAATAAACATAACCCTTTCTGAATGTGATAGGGACTAGAATGCAATAAACAAGAAAACGACACCAGCTGTGCTGCTGTAGAGGAGGCTGACTGTGGTCAGAGGGAGCTTCCTGGAGGACAGAGTGCTTTAGGGAACATCGGCTAAAATGAGAATTAGGAAAAGAACATCTTGGGCAGAAGAAAACAGCCAGCGTAAAGGTCTTGGGGCAGAAAAGAGTGTCTGGTATTTGAGATGAAATGAAAGGACAAGGTATCTGGTAAAGGATTAATGTGGTGAGGATCAAAGAAGTGGCAGGGTGTAGGTTCTAGAAAGACGATGTGCTAGACACAGACATTTGGGGTTTTATCCTATGGATAGCAGGAAACAAGTGAAAAGTTTGACGTGTAGAAGTGAGGAGCTCCAACCGCAACCTTGAGCTGAGAATCTAAGGTGTGGAGGACAAATAAGAAACAGACTTGGAAGCTGGGACAAGGGCTGGCAGGCTGTGACCCGAGACAGGTAAGAAATGCTTGCAGTTTGGCCTGAAGTAGGGGTAGAAGAGCAAGACTGGAGAGACAGACGGGCAGCCCTAAGTCTGGAGACGTAACAAAGGCAGACGATGGATTTGGCGTCAGTGCGACCCCTAAGGGTGCCGTTTGCTAATGGCAGGGACTATGTACTCAGTATAGTTTTGTCTACAGTAAGCTAAGGTTGGGTTTAGGGTTAGATTCATCTTTTATCTTTGCCGAATCTCTGGGCAAATCCCTAACCCTCTCAGGGCAGGCTGGAGGGGATGGCAGGTGTGTGAGTCCTTTCCAAGTGTCTGCCCACCACATGGAGGGGTCATGAGGAAGGCGGATGTTTCTGGAGGTGTCCATGTGTGCGTTGATTTTACCAAGAGTTCTTAGTATTCAAGAAGCAGGATTTAGGACTTGGGTGCAGGTGGCTAAGAAAGTCTTACATTTTAGTTTTACTTCTACCTCGACCTTAAGTCCCCATGGGGTCTTCCTTGGACAGGAAAGTAGGTGACTCGCCTTGACCTCCCCCCGGGATTGCCTTTGGACGAGAACTTATCGATTCAAATGCTCCTTTGGTTGACAGATAAGCGGTGTATGGGGATGGGGCTCCTATTGCAGACCTTTCTCAGGAAAATCGGAGAGCTGCCTGAGGGCCTTGGGGGGCTTACTCATCATGGAGAACATTTGGGTGTGTGGTTAGTTATATGCACTATTACAGATGCTAATTTGTGCAGGGAGCTGGTACAGCGTGAGTTAGCATCTCACGTTAAGCGTTCGTTATACACTGAGCTCACAATGTCTCCTCCTGGCCAGGGCACTGTGATGTGGAAAACAGGGTGGCTGGTGTTGGGGAGAGAACACAGACACATGGTGAGTCTCTTCCCTGGGACTTCAGTCAGTGCTGCATTGAGACTTCACCGTCTCAATGTGAGAGCATTTTCAGCGGGATGAAGCCCTGGGCACATGTTAAGGAGAAATATTGTTGTGATTGCTTATTAGCATCATCACAAAGACCCCTGTGTGTGCTCTAGTGAGGCCAGCTGGAGCCCTGTGGTTTCTTGTAAGACAGTCTTCATGTTTTAAAAAGGTGTGAAATGCACTTAGCCTGTCCTACTTAGCTCAGTACCTGAGTTTAATCATCGTTGATAACGTTGAAATACCGAAGATAAAACAAACTTATGTTTGACCTTTGCAATAAAGAAAGTCATCTATTTGCTCAGCTCCTATTAGTGTTAGGAGGAGCAATGAATGTAAATTCCTGATACATCAGGGAAATACTAGACTCCTGAGTGAGCCGTTTAGGTTTGGGTTTTGTTTTTAAGCTAACTTTCATATTGAATTAAAAGGAAGGGTAAAAATAATGTCCTTGACACACAGTGACTTCGAGTGACCTGATTCTTACACATTCTTCCTCAGAGCCTGACTCTGGAGATCGGCCATGCAGAAGGGTCTCGCAGGGAAGAGGCCTGAGCTGCCTACATAGGTCAGTCACCTTGGTGCCCAAGGCTGGAGCAAGGCCAGTTTGATGCTTGCCATTCCCTTCCCTCTCTCTCGCCAAGGGTCCACTGTTTCCACCTGTCCTCGATGGGAACCCGCATGAGCTGCTGCTGCTTTGGGATGTTTTGTAGCCTTGGTGGAACAAGTAAGAAGCCACCTTTCCGTAAGCACCAACCATCATGGCCAGGTGCTTAAATGCAGTATTTCATTCCCTTCTCAACCACAGCCTTGCTGAAGCCAGTGTTCTTGGATTCCCAGCTCTCGGATGAAGGAGAGCTGGGACACAGAGCTGGCAAAGGGAAGTGACTTCAAGTCAGACTGACTCCAAAGTTCAAGGTTCTAAGCCAAGGGTTGCCAGCCTTTATCTGTTTAGGGCCCATAGTGTTTTCAGCTTTGCAAGCCTTAGAGTCTTTGTGGCAACAACCTACCTTGGGATTGCAGCCATGGAGGATAAAATATAAGGACAAGTGTGATCACCTTCTGTTAAAAATTGGTTTTACATAAAACAAGGGGAGTAGCCAGATTTTGCTGGTGGGCCATCATTTGGCAGCCTCCAATCCTAAACAGTGGCCCTGTTTTGCTTCCCCGGGCTTTGGGTGAACACCCTGGCTTTGCAGCCTCACAGGGAGGGGTTACACCCAGTCCTTCCACTCAGCCTCTGGAGCCTGGTTTTCTCCTCTGTAAAATGGACAGAAGTCTAAAATGCCTCCACTGACACACTTTCTCTCTTCCCATGGCCTATGGCATGAAACGCAAGCCCAGAGACACTTTGAATTCATGTCCACAGAGCTTTTTCTTTCCATCAGCTGCTGATACCAGACAGGCAAAGATGGTGACATGACACAATTTCTGTAACGTCTTTACTTCTGAGAAGATTATCCTAGAGGAACAGTAGTTATCAGCTATTTCCTTGTGGCTCCTCCAGGGACAGAACACTGGGCAATTAAGCCACAGGATTAGGTTCAGGTGATGGCAATGGGGACAATGAGAATGCACAAGGCCAGGCAGGCTGGGTTCCTGGCTCAGTCTCAGACTCTTCTCTTAGCCAAATAAGTGGGACTGTGGAGCAGGACATTTTGTTGAAAGTAGCATCATGTACCTATTGCCTTTACTGATGTGAGCAAAGAATACTTCATCCTTTTCTCTTCTTTCGCATATTTGGTAGCGTTAACTCCAAAGAGCATTTATTAATTCACATAACAAAAAGCTTAGAGGTCAGTTGGCCCCAAGTATAGCTGCATCCAGGGGCTCAAATCATACCATCAGAACTTGTCTGTCACTCTGTCTTTCCCACCAATACCCTGCTCCATCATGGAGTGGATGGAAACAGATGGAAAAATAAAGAAGCCCCTACAGCAACCAAATCTCCTAAGTGGGGTGCTACATCAAGTGAGGATGGTCAGAGAAGATTTTCTAGAGGCTAAAGTGTCTGAGTTTGGGATTACATGAATAGAGAAGGTTTAAAACAGTACCTACAGAAAACTCCTGGGATTGGTTATCATAACGTGGTTTACTGGGCTTTATTCAGACTTACAAAATGAGATTCCCCGAAAAAAGTCCTTTGGGTATGCATTTCTTTAGCAAGGTCCTGAGAATTGTGTGCACAGTTCAGCTATTTGAACACTTAGGTTCAGCAGCCTCTCATTCTGCACAGTTAAGCAATAAAACGTAGTCTAAAGATGCACATTGCAGCTAGACGAGGAAATATAAAATATGTAGGATGGACACTTCAAAGAATTTCCAGGCTGTTGGATCCTCCTACTGGCTCAGCTTTTTGAGTAGCATACATAGACAACCCTGATGTGGGGCTGAATTTTTTCATAGGCAGAATCTCTCCCTATGACCCTAAAAGCATCTCCCTTTCCATTCAGTATGGCAGAAAGCATGAAAATCTTCCGTTGAGCCCATCTGTAGCTGACTTTTGCTCTGGGCGATTTGCTAGGGAATAAGACCTGGTAGAATTACTTCCTGAGACATTTCCATGAGTTCCTTTCTTCAAGATGCTCCTGTGGCCTAGGAAGTGATGGCTTATGGTGGCTTTGGGGCACAGCGGGTGCCCCCAGGCCACACTCATTGCCGGAATTTTGAAAAGAAAAGTGCAATGTCCCTACTCCACATGCTTCTCCATCTTGCTGCTGACCTGGGCTTTGCAGGTGAACGACTGAGTTGCCGTTCCTGCTTTCCACCTTACAGAGTGACCTTGCACAAGGACTTGAACATATCTGACTGTTAGTTTTCTCCTGGGCAACACCTATCTTACAGGTGGGAGGTGAGCAGGGAGTGCTTGGGCCAAACTTCTGGGACCCAATCAGTGCATTACAAATAGCTGCTATGATCTGCTGGTTCTTAGTAGGACTTGATCTGTGATATACACAGAGAAAAGAAATAAGATTTTAATATAAGAAGATCATCAGGAGCCCACATCTTCTGTAAACGAATATTAGGTCAGTAAAGCCTTGGGGAAAATTTTGGCTTCTATTAGTTTTTCTGTTGGCCTTAATTACATAAAATTAATTATAGGTAATTATAAAGAAACACTAATAAATATTTAATTAATTTCCATCAGGCACTCACCAGAGCTTGGTAGATAAAAAGTTAAGACCATGACCTTTGATGTAAGACAGACGAGTGTTAGCTGGATGCTGTCTCTTGCTAGCACTAGGATCTTGGGCAAGCTACAGAGCCTCTGTAGCCTCAGTTTCCTAGTCTATAAAGGGAGAAGGCTGATGAAGACTGATCCTTCTCACTGGATTCACTGGCTGTTAGATACAAGGCACCTGGCACAGTGTGTGCCCCATGGAGCATCCCCTACCAGCCCCTCTGAAGACACCCTTGTCAGTGGAGGTGTCTGATGGCTTCACTTACTTCACGGAAAGACAGTTCTATTGGGTTTGTCATTTTCCCCATTTTAAATGCCTGTGCAATAAGTTTTCTACCCTTTCTGTCACCTACAGGGTTTACATCACCACAAAGGAGCTAGAGGAATGAAAAGAAGAGGATACAGAAACTTCCTGGGGTGAAGTAAGTCTATGAGTATTCTAGCATCTGTGGAGTTTGGGGTGGGGAGTATATTACCAAGCCCTCTTTGCTGGATTCCTCTTCCTTTAGGTGGATGTGGATATAGAGTTTGGATGTGGAGGTGGAGGTTGAGATATTTCCCTTTGAAGTTGGACCAATCCTTATATTCTTTGGTGGATGCTGATAAAATACAAATATGCCTATTTGTTTTTCTTACATATTCATTCATACAACAAAATGACAGGAGGATGGAGGAAGGTGCTATCAAAGACATTTCCACTCAAAGGAAAGACTCGGATGATCATTCTTACCCTGGGAAGTTCTTTCTGCTGCTTTGATGGTGTAATCATTTTTCTCTCCTTGACTGTGGCCTATTTTCCTAAGGCACCTGAACTTGAGTGAGTGTCTATGTTCAAGATGCACCCGTTGCATAGGAAGCAGCAGAGATAGCTCGTGGTGGCTTTGGGGCACAGGGGGTGCAGCCTGGCCACACACAGTTGGGCCTGGCTGGCTCTGGTGGGGGCAGGGAGGTTTTATGGGGCTGTAGACAAAGCATCCAGTTACCCATCTGTTAACCAGCGGAGGAGTTATTTTCTTTTCTACTTCTTTCTCAGTTTGCAAGGAGCAGGATGCTGCCTAGTGTAAGGGAATTTTAACACCTAACACTTACTAATGTCCTTTTATAATAAAGTGAGAAGCCAAGCCTCTGAGCAAGCCTTTTGGCAGGCCACAGTGCCTAGCTACAATTTAATAACTTCTTTCCTATGGTATTCATCCTTAGGGTTTGCTTCTCTTTAGGGTAGAAGGTACTGGTTTTCCATTTGCTGCAGTGATTGTAAGTTTCCTTTTCACTGAACAAATGTACTTGTAAGCACATATGAGAATTGAATAAATGGAAAAATAAGTAAATCACACAGATATTATGTAGATTTGGAAAAAGTTTTAATGTTTACAAAAGTTGAAAGGCTTTGGAGAAGCCACCTTCTCTGAGCTTCCATTCCTTGTTTGTTAAATTGGACTAGTATGCTATTTACCTCTGGAGGTCAAGGTACAAGGCCAGTGGTTGTAAGTACCAGCCCCCCACCATTCTCTCCCCCTGAAAATTCTCTTCCCTTCCCCTGGGACCTGGAACCTGATACAAACTTCCAAAGCTACAGGAGTGTGGTTGTTGTTCTTACTAAGCTTGGAATGAAGTTCCACTACAGTGGGGTTTCTGAGTTCCAGGCCATACTCAAACCTGAACAGACTAGCAATGCCCAATACCCAGTCATGGGAGGCAGATATTGATGAGTTATTTGACCAAGGAAGGCCATCAAAGTCAGCCCATGTATTCTTTTGAATAATCATGTTCCGGGCACAGCACAGGTGAATTCCTTTTCCCTCCAGACTGACACACTGCCGTACGCAGCAGCTAAGCCCAGTTTTAAACCAACAGTGTTGCTCTTTTAAAACTAGTGGTGTCACCATTTTATTAAGCTGGTGGTGAGCTGTCACTGTCCCCCTTTCCTTTTGTTCATCTATTATCTATTTAAACTAATCACTTAATTAGCCTAGACAAGAAGATTTCTATGGTGTTAACTCTAAAAACCTACTGGAAATGCTTGAGTAGCCTGATTGGATTTAACTTGCAGTTCATTACCTCTAGACTAAGATAATGTTAAATGCAGGGCCTGAGAAACAGTGCTTTGGAAATAAATTCTGCTTACTAAAAACAACAACAACAAAAAACAAACAGGTCGGTGGTTTTCAGACTGAGGGCCCTGACCCATCCAAATCAGTAGCAGCTGGGAGCATGAGTCTGTGGCCCTCTTGAAATTCTAGCGGGAGGATCTTGCAATCAGTTCTGACAGACCCTTCCGTATCACAGGCAGAGGTCAAAGTGTGATGACTATTACTGTGGACTTCCTGTCACGCTTCTAACAGAAGAAAAAGAATAAAGAAGGCAAAAGGGGAGAGAGAGAGAGAGAGAGAAGAAAGAGAAAAGCAAAAAGTCAGCACAGTGGGGGAATGAGACCTTAGAAGCTGGGGTAGGAAGGCTGTTTACTAAATTGTGCTTTGTTTTGGGGGGTTTTGTTTTTTTTTGGTAGCAGAGATTGAACTCGGGTCCTTGCGCTTGCACAGTAGGGGGTGAAACCACTGAGCTAAATCCCCAGCCCTGTAAATTGTACTTTGAAACAGCAGCCTGGAGCTCCTTTGGATGCTGGGAGCAGCTTTACATCCTTCCTTAGGAAACAGGGACAAAATACAGAGAAATATGCTATGAAAGTGCTCAGAATGCTACCACATTGTCAGAAAGTAGGAACACAGTGGGCGTTTGGAGCGTGAAATGGAGTCCAGGAAAGCACAGCAGCTCTGAGGGCACACTAAGGGCACTTGGTAAATGCTTATTAACACCTTCAAGATGGGGCTGCAACCTGTCTCACTGCTGGGCAGCTTGAATTAGCAGTGGTAGATGTACGACTGTCCCATTGGGGAGCTTTTCATTAATTTTATTAGTGAAAAGACCAATAAAAGTGATTAGGTCCGTTTGTACCGCCAGTGGTACAAGCTGCCCACTGGGACAGTCATACATGTGCCACCAGTGGATCAAGCTGGAACATGTGAAATTGACAAAGGCTGAGCTCCAGTGACCTAAATCCAGTTTCCTGCATAGGGATGTTAATTGGTCTATAAGGGCAAATCAAGTATTCTCCCATAGGGCATCTGCTGTATCTTCTCCTCTTGCCTTCTGAACAACAGCTCAGCTTAAGGTTTCTTACAGGACAGGAATTCTTATCGGTGTGTGACCTTAAGTAAGACACACACTCCCTAGGCTTCAGGTTCCCTGCCTATAGGAGGAGGATAGTATGTACTTATAGATGTTTCTGCTCACACTGTAGCACCAGCACCTCATGCAAATAGTGTTTGACATACAACAGGTGTTGAATAAATATTTGTTAAATAAAAGAAGGAAAAATGATTTTTGTGAGGTTTGTATGGAATAATACTTTGAGAATGCCTAGCACAATACCAATCACATGGATATTCTGTAAGTAGTATTTATCATGAAGAATGATAAGGAAGATATGATGAGGTGATGAAAAAGAATGGATTCAGAAAAGTATCTTCCAAGTGCCTATAAAGAATTAGGCCTGCCCACCAAACCACTGCCCCCAGCACACAGGAGGTGAGCCTCGAGGTGCCAGCAGCACCCCCCCTCCCACTGTCGAAATGAGAAGTAAATGGTGACATGTTTGAGCTGCTATAACAAAATTCTGTAAACCAGGGAAGTTTATAAACAACAGAAATTCATTTCTTACAGTTCTGGGTGAAGGGTTGTTTCATGCTTCATAGATGGCACCTTCTCCCTGTATCCTCACATGGTGGAAAGGGGCCAGGTGGCCCTCTGGGAACTCTTTTAAAGAGGCTCTGCCCTCATGATATGGTCACCAACAGAAAGCCCTCTCTTCTCCTATTACTAGCACAGCAGTGACTAGGATCCATAATACATTTGGGAGAAACGTGAACCTTCAGACCAAAGCAATACCTTTTATGCTACCTTACTTTTGGCTACTGAACCCATAGCCTTCAAATTCAGTGCTTAGAAGGTCCTCAAAATATTTCCAGGACTGAAATGAACTAGGTGAATGTGGCCATAATTGAGAGTTGTTGCTGGTGGTTGTTCATAGAGGTGACTCATTTCCAATCCATATAACTAAGTAATTACTGTTAATTTTTATGTTGTTTTTCAGTACAGATAATTATTAACCCTTTGGTTAATACATTTGCTTAAGGATAAAAGTACTATAAATTATAGAAATGCCACTACCTACATTTACATGATTTAAAGGAATACTTCACCTCAAAAATATGTGAAAATTCCCTGCCTTTCCCTCCACTTTTCCCTTGGACATCAGCACAAAAGAGCAGCCTGCCAATTCAATAGACAGTTCAGGAGAGAAACTGGGAATGGTATGCATTAAGTTTGCTGAGCACCTTAGTAATTCTTCAAAGAACATGGATTTTAGGAGTCGGACCTCAGTTCAAACCTCAGCTCCACCATGTTACCAACTTTGTGACCTTGAGCAAGTTGCTAAACCTTTATGAGCCTGTATCTCCACATATATTGTGTAGAGATCTTGTGTGAATTAGATAAAAGAACATTTGCAAATGTATGTGGAATAAACACACAACAAAACATCAGTTCTTCTTTTACCAGCATGTTGAATGGGTACACTCAGCAGACTCCTGGAGGAAGCAGGCCCCTTCTCAGACTTTAGTTTGAAGCGCGGATACATAGAAGGATAGATGGGAGGGGTTTCCACTAATGAGGCCCACACTGTCTTATCACTGAAATAACTCCAGGTTTGGGAAGTATTGTTCTGTAAGTTTGGGTCTCCTGTGGGGTATACAATCACTGGGACCTTTCCAGCTCTTTGCTAAAAATGGATTATTCTTTCCTGTGATTTGGTCTTTGATGGCAAGTTTAACAATAAAGATAGGAACAAGCTTAGAGTTTGAAAATCCAGCTCACAAAGATAAACAGAAGAATCCTTTGAAATGTCATCAATCTTAGGAGAACCTGCTATGCTGTTTTTGTCTGAGTAGTACAACAAAGTAGATGCCCAAACACATGTCTAGTTCTCCATTGCTTGACATAAAATTAGCGGTTCTCCAGCACTTGAGAACATCACAAACAACCTAGTATCTATGCCTTATAAGGAATCAGAGAGAAGGCCACTTCCACAGACATTGTTCTGGATGTAAGCACTGTTTTCCATTGCCTTTTGATATTTTCTGCATGCAGACTACTTTCTCCATATCAAATAAAGTCGGTTGTTTTTTCCCATATTGGGTTCACCAGGCTTCATTTAGTTCTGCAGAAACAGCTTTTGTTACGCTAGAATGCCTATGGCCTCCTGGGGCTAGCATGGAAATACTTCTTCAAGGCTGAGCTTCACATCTCTAGCTTGTACAGCCTCCAAATCCTGCCAGTCTTAGAGAGGAATCGGATGTGAGGACATCCTCAGATAGAAAGGCGGAAGTGGGGGGCTCCTGTGAGGTTTAATGCATAGACAAAGTGGAAGACAAAACTGCAAATAGGTTTGCAGTACGACTCAAGAGCTGTTCCTTGTGATTAAGTGTATATTTGCTATTTGGTTCAAAGACAACGAATGAAATGTGGAATTGGCCCTGGAGGGAGAGGCTGGGAATCTGGCCACATTTGCTATCAACATCTAAGTTGGAATCCATGTTTGAGCTTCAGTGCATAAGAAGAGTTGTCTTCTTAGGGCTCTTTTGTTTAGGGCCAGTTCTTTCAGATGGTGAAAAAGTGAGTGTCTCACTGAGGTGAAAGCCCTGTTCAGATCGAATAAATGCTTCTTGTTTTTGGCTGCAAGAGAGGCATCTTAGACCTGGCCTGGGAACCGGGGTATTCACAGCCCGAAGAAGGCAGCCTCAATCTTTGTCAATAACTGGGGATTTGCACAGGCATAGAACCAGATCTTAAATAGACACTATTGAGTGGACGCAGCCTTCTGGCTTATCCCGGGTCAGAAACAGTTCAATTCCAGTGCTCCTGGATCGGAGGTTAAATGGTAGCCCTAAAAGACATGTCCATGTCAAATCCCATTTGGAAAGTGGGACTCTGCCTTGGGATTGAATTAAGGATCTTGAGATCTCGAGGAAGCCATCCTGGGTTTTCTAAGTGGCCCCAAACCCCATGACATATGTTCTTACAAGGGTCATACGGGGGAGAGAAACCCAGAGAGCAGAGCAGGAGTATGAAGACAGGCAAGACTGGTGGGTCACCAACATCTGTTGGCTGGGCTGGGTAGTCACCCATAAGCCTGAGGAGATACTCAGGGGCTTTTTGTGCAAAAGAAAGACCCTGTCTTCAGTTATGTGTAGCCATGCTGTATAGGTAGGTTTTATTTTTTGATATAAACCCTAATTCTCCTTTTATTAACAAGCAAGAGAGGAAAGATCTGATTTCTGTTATTCTCCCTTGAAGAAATTGTCAATTATGGGTGAGGGGTTTGCTCCCTGAGCAAATCCCAGAGGACTCCTCTTTCCTTTTCCTTACAATCCTCCCGTGCAGACAGCCCAGTCCAAGGTGTCTTGTCGCTGCATTACATGGTCATGTGCTCTTTGAAGCTAAGTTTGCCATCTTAAACTCTTTTAGCCTTGCTTGGTGGAGAATATAACTGAGGAAACGTTATACATTTCTTGTTCTGTTACCTTTCCTATCAAAATGGAAACTCTGTCCATTTTATCTCCACTGTAACAAAATTTGGAATTCAGCACGCACACTAGCTCTAAGAGAGCGACTCCTCAGTGTGCCTTTCAGGGGCCCCCAAAATACCCATTTTTAAGTTAGCTAGTACACGAGATAAAACATTTGAACTACCATTTTATTTTCATGCGGGCTAAAGGACAATTTGGAAAAGGTTCTATTCTGAGAACAGAGCTGGGGAAGTGGAAGAGCATCAGTACCATTGTTTTGAAGTTAGCCTGTCAGTCATCGTGATTGAAACATAGCCCCAGTGGCTTCCACAAGTACAATAAAACGCTTCGCCAAAGGTTGCAGAATTGTAGGATGTAATCAAGTCGCTTGGCTTCATTTCCAGTGCTGCAGAGTCCTACAGAACGAGGCCCATTTCCTTATGCCTTGGGATTTGTTTGAGTTACTTTCATGCCTGGAAATGACAGAACATAAAAACAGACATTTAGTTAGAACCGGTAGCGTTTTTTTGGAGTCATAGTAATAAAGGAAATATAAGTTTGTTTACTGCTAATCGGTTAGACTGCCATTAGTGTTTTATGAGAGGTGATATTGATGTGGCAGATTACATGAAATAGATATATGCCACCATGCCGATGCTACATTCACTTGCCAGGACCTGGCATTTTCTGTGTCCTCTGCCCATAGCCCATGCCACCAAGGTCAGCTGCCTGGCCTTGAAAGACTCTCTGTTCTTGACACAAAGCTTATATGTAAATTAAACCAATCTAGAATTTTGTTTATCGGGTAAGAATGGGTTTCTAAATATAGCCATTTCCTGAATTTCCTGCTGAGCTTGTCAAAAACAGATTTCTGGACTCTATCCTCCATATTCTGACTTAGCAGGCCTGGATAGAGGCCCCAGAATCTGTGTTTTTATGCAAACTCTCTGTATGAATCTGAGGAATTTTGCTTCTAGATTTGGAGAACTGTGGAACTACTGTGTAGCAGGGCAAATCAATTTGCTTTCGAGCCAAGCGAGGTGCCTTTAATGGTATAGATCAGGCCTAAAATGATGTCTACTCACAAGTCAGGAAAGTAAGGAGAAAGCCCTTTAATCTTATCAGGCAAAAAATAAGAAAATTCCTTGGGCCTGTAGTGATACGGAGGGCCGCGGGTACACGCTGCAAAGCTCTGACTGCCTGTCCTTTGCAGCCTCAGCTTCTGGGCCTCAGTTATGGGTATCTGTAGAACAGGCATAGTCAGGAACTGGACTAACAGTGGCTACTAGCTCAGAGCAGAATAATTCAAGAAAGAAAAAGTAGGAAAGGAAGAAAGATGAAGGTTTTGTGGTTTATATTTCACATCATTTATGGACAATTGAAAGAAATGGCACTAGAAGTTTGGGGGCAGCTATAAGGAATGCAATATATGAAAAGATTCTGTAAAATACCGTTAAGCACAAAGAAATGTCACCACTTGTGTTTTCAAAAGATTTCAGAGAAGATTTAAATTGTTGTTCCCATCCTGTTTGCCATTTGGGGCTCTGAATGGGCACTGACCCGGGAAGCTGAACGTGAAGACTTGAGGACCTACTTGTATCAGGGTTACCCCAACACGGGGCCCTGGAGACCCACAGCTGCGAGGACACACACCAGCCTCTCATCCAGAGGCTTCAGGGAGTCTGGCAGTACAGTTTTCCTACATGCCAGGAACAAGGACAGAGGGCAGAGGAGGGCAGGGTATCCCTCTGGAATTAAGTCTGGTCCCTCCTGGGGTCTAGGACACAGAGGCCGAACCATTTCTGCTCTTAACCTGGGCCAGGAAGCTCTCATCTGGCTCAGGGTTGGTCCTGCAGGCCCCTTGGGAGCTGTAGTGATGGGTGGCAGTGAGGTGTGTACACTGTGAACTTGCCCTCCTCGAGACGGGGAGCTGTTTTATTCCCCTGTGACACTGGGATGCTCCCCTGTCCTGTTCAGCACCACCTCCTTGTCTGCAGATGCAGGTCATCTTCGGATCATTCCTTACTGCCCTTGTTCTCCAGCAATTACTCACTTGGAGTCAGAGGCGCCTGTGCTGGCCTGAAAGTGGATGTGCCCTTTCTTTTCTTCCACCTTGCCTGACTAGAGCAGATTTATGTCCTCGGAGAAGTTTCCCTTGGTTTTATTTCTGGTTTTCTGAATGGTGCAGCACTGTGGACTTCCCACACCGCCCTTTCCAGCACTGGCCCTGTGGCTCCGGCACTGTGGTAGATGCCTCTGTCACCCGGGAGGCTTCCTGTCAGTCCACTTACAGTGTCCGGGGACTTGGGCCTCATACCGCTGTGGCACCCACATGTCTGCCCAGGGTCCTAAAGCTCTGTCTACAACAGTTTCCTTTCCCTACCTGGCCTGGAGGCTCAGGGGAATCAGAGCCTGGCTTTCAAGCCAGAGCACGTAGGTGAACCTGTGGGACTGGGGCGAGAATGTGAGGCTCTGGAGTCCAGCTATGTCTCTGGGCAAGTGGAGCCCACCTGCACCTCACAGGCGCTGCAAGGCTGTGCTGGTGCACGCCAAGCACTCCCAGCATGCCCGGGGCTTTACCACGCTCACTGCATCTTCGCCTCTATCACTGTCATTACTGCTGCTTCCTCCAGTGTCCAAGCACGAAGACAGCACCCAGGCGCAGTGAAAGACTCTGCCTTACTGCAAAGAGGGCAGCTGGGCCATGTGCTCATTCTTCCAGCTTCTTGAGAAACAGGGAGCTTGTGTGGATGGAGCTCTTCAGTGCTACCTGGCGCATCAACCACAGGATTTATGAAATGCAAGTAAGGTTCCGAGAGGGTGGGGAGAGGTAAGTGGCTCTATCCTCAAGGCCCTTCAGCCTGTTTGGGGGGAATGAGGCAAGGTGAAGTAAGCGAGGCAGAGCATGTGGGCTTCTGGGATCGGAGAGAGCTGGATTCCCAATCCGCCCAGTCCGTCTCTTTGACATATGCATGTGCTCCTGTAAACACAGGCACTTCCGAGCTTTCGATTCTTTCTGTTCTTAGTAGACATCGTAACAGATTAACTGCTCTCCTCCCATTCTTACCATCACTAAGGAGGAGCTTGAGAAATGCCAGGTAGCGTTATGCAGCCACTCTCGGGGGTGTGTTCTGCAGGAGTGAAGGCCAGACAGCACTGCTCTGGAGAGTGCGAGAGAGTTTTGGAGAAGGAAGCTCTGAATTTGGAAGAAAACTGAAATGCTGGATGGAGGAACTTGAAATAAGTAAGGACAATACCCTTATCATCTCTCTCTCCCTGAAGCCTACAGCAAAGACCTTGAAGTTGGTTTGTGTTTTGTTGTATGACTTATTGGTTAGGGAATGAAATTAGAGACACTGTACTACCGTGGTCCACTGGGTCTGTACTCAACCCTCTGGCTTCTCCCCGAAGATCAAGAGTCATCGTGGTAGCCAGCTCTCCATTTCTATAACAAATATCTGAAATAATCAACTTATAAAGAGGGAGGTTTACTTTGGCTCAAAGGCTTGGAGCTTCCAGTCTGATCAGTGTGCCCTATAGCAGCGTATCGTGGCGAGAATAATTGTCAGAGCAAAGCCCCTCACTTCGTGGCTGGGCAGCAAGGAGGAGGAAAAGACTGGATTCCCACAGTCTCCTTCGAGAGCACACCCCCAGGGATCCAAGCCCCCCACTGGGCCCTGCCTTGCCAGGTTCTCCCCGCTCCCAGAGAGCATCAGGCTGGGGGCCAAGCCTGTAACATGTGGGCTTTGGTGGACATTGGCGATCCAAGCGGTAGCTGACATCAAACTCTGTGGTCATTCTCCATGGCCTCTGTGTGCACTCAGGGCAATACTTTTGAAGAAGGCTCCTACCTCTACTCCCTTTCCTCATGCTCCCATACAGCCAGAGGAAGGCCTCTTCTGCCTCGAAGAAGAGAAAATAGACCAGTGTCTCTCTTCTGTAGGTGAACTGGTTAATATAACTTGATAGAATGCAAAAGGCAGGCTTGGGCCCACAAAAACCCATCTGGCCCTCCTCCTATTTTGAAAGGTTATGTTTCTATACTTGGCTGCTCACTGGAGTCATCTAGGGAAGTTTACAAAAAGTGCCATGCTGCCATCCCACCCCCAGAGATTCCCACCCAACTGGTCGGGAGGGTGCCCGGGGCTTTGGAAATGAAACCTTGAACTTTACTATGATGACCCCCAAGCCTGCCTCCCCCTCGATGTCATTCTAAACTGTGCTCCCAGTACAGTGCTCTAATTTCCAGGAGCAAGGAAGGTCTAGAGGCCTCAGTGGCAGACAGGCAACTCTAGTAAGGCTATCTGTCTTCCTCCGCTCCCACAGAGCTGCAGGCATGGAGCCACGGCTGCCCTTCCAGGCCAGTTCTCCTTGCTCGCAAGGATTAATGATATGGCCTCTTTTGCATCCGTGCCAGGGCTGACACAGAAATGGTTTTGAAATGAAGTAACCATAGCTTCCCCCATAACACAGTCCTGAAAAAACTAACACAAAATTTAAACAACTCTTGTTTTTTGAAAGTAACTTCTTAGTCCCTAGCAGCCCTGAGAGTCAGGGGGAGCAGCCATGGAAAGTCATTCTGCTCACACCAAAGCCAAAGAGAAAAATTTCCTAAGGGCAGGTACCACTGGCCTCTGCTTTTCAGCTTTTTCCTTAATAAACTGGTCCTAGAAATTGGACCACAGAAGCTGCCGATGGCAATGTCTTACAGTAAGTGGGTAAAAGAGAAGCTGAAGGAGGAATGCAATTTGGATCAGAGAGCCACTCTGATTCGTAGTTTTGAGGCAACGTAATTACACTACCATCTACAGACAGCAAGGGGTCGCTCCTAAGGATAGCGACCAGAAACCCACCCAGCAGTAGGCCAGTGTCCTCCAGAGAATTCAGCAATGTCCCCAACATTTCCTAACTCTAAACTGTTCATCTGCAGCACGGAGCACATTCTGATTAATAACACAGCTTCCTGTGATGAGGAAGCATTCATTAACCTCCCATTAAACAGTCTGTTTCCTACTCCACTGTGGTGACTCCTTCGAGGCATAGAAAGCTGTGAACACCACCTGACCAGCCCCTCTCCTGGGGGCGTGCAGACATCTGTCTCCAGGGAGGATGGGGCCCAGCCAAGCTACCTCTAGTATGGTGACCAGAGGCTCAGCCCTGTCACACTGTCTCCACTGGGCTGTGCCCCCTGGCAAATGGATCGAGCTGTGCCGTGAGCTTGGTGGTGGGTCGGGAGGCTGGTCAGGGCACACCAAGCCTGGAAAGCCATGCTGCTGCCGCTCCTGGCCAACAAGGCTTGGCCCCCTCTTCGCTCTCTCCGTACCCATGTCCTTGTCTATGCTTGCGCTCAAGCCCAGCAAGGAGTTTCCCTAGAAGACCTCCTCCTTCTGCTGGGACTTAGGGAAAGTCAACTTTATTTGTCTCCAAATCTTCCACCGATATTACTCTTCTCTGCAACTCCGTCAAAATGAAA